TCCCTACACACTAGTGGCTCACAGGTGATGAGTATTCTCTGTGCCGGGTTCTGTAATAAGCACCGTGCATGCCCATCTCACTGCATCCTCACCAGCCCAAATACCATTATTGCCATTTGACAGACGAAAAGTCAGACAGGCATACCTGCTGCATGCCAAGGCTTGTATCCCCAACGATGCTGTTCTTTGCCTCTCCCAGGTAATATGGGACCAATCCCTCTCACTTGCTGGGAATTAATCACACTGCCCCCTCCGATAGCTTCCCTCCAACTTCATAGCCTACCTCTTTCCTTTTCTATTTCAAACATTCTACCTATTCCTGGCATGTGTCAAACTTGGCTCAGTTTTAAGGTCTTTGCTTGCACTGTTTTTCCTGCCTAGAATATTCTTTCCTAGATGTTCACATGGACATAGCTTCCTCCTCACCATTCCAGTTTCCACTCATATTCTACCATACCTTCAGTGAGTCCCCACTGGAGTTTCTAAGCTGAAATTGTGAGTCCTCTTCCCCAGTACTCCTTAGGCTTTATATAATTTTCTTCAAAGCATTTAGTACTGAAATTATCTTACTCCTTGTTGTTTATGCACATGTTATTTATTAATCCCCCAACCTAGACACACACACACAGCAACTGCACCATCCTATACAGTAGCCATTAACCACTATTTAAGTTTAAATGAAGAAGTTTTCTTTCCCAGCATACAAGATGGCAGGTGAAAGAACTGAGAAGCTGGATATATGAGAAGAAGCCTAACCTGAAGCCAAGAAGGCCGATGCCAGTGGCAAGGTTTAAAAGGGTGACCCCAAGGCTAAAAAGCCCAGAAAGGGGATGCCCCTTTCCAGCTGAAACTAGGCCTAGTCTGGGGCATCAGCAGATACTCCCTATCTGCCACCTATTCCAGGAAGGCCATGTACAAGAGGAAATACTCCACCACTAAATCCAGAATTGAAAAGAAAAAGGAGAAAGGTTCTTGCCACTATCATAAAACCAGTTGGTGGGGATGAGAATGGTGGTACCTGGGTGGTTAAACTTCTCAAAATGCCTAGGTATTATCCTCCTGAAGATGGGCATCAAAAGCTGTTGAGTCACAGCAAAATCAAAGCTGTACCTCAGCTCCAGGGCTATCTGTGATCTGCGTTTGCCCTTACAAATGGAGTTTATCTGGACAAACTCGTATTTTAAATTTATTGCCAAGATCCTAATTAAATAACTGATATATAAGTAAACAAATATATAAATAAATTTAAATTAAGTCACATGGAAAAAGTCCTAGGTTTACATTCTAGGACTTCCCTAGAAGTGATCATGTGTATCACAGTATGGAGACTCTGTTGGGGGTGACTGTCCCTCTGTCTCTGCCTCTCTTTCTCTGTCTCAAAAGAAAGAAACTGAAAAAAATTTTTAATGAAATGAATTAAGCTCCTCAGTCACACTAACCACAGTGCTCAATAAATAGCTACATGTGGCAGCTGGTTACTCTACTGGACAATGTAGATTATTGGACATTTCACAGAAAGTTCTGTTGGATGAAGGTGCTTTAGAATATAAGCTCCAAAATGAACATGATAGTGACCTTGTCTATCTTGTGTACCACTCTAGAATAGTGCCTCACATATAGTAAGTACTTAAGAAAATTAATGTTTGTGGGTGAAAATGAATGAATGCTGGTAGTCTCACATAACACTGTCATAGCAGCAAAATAAAAATGAAACATGCTAAAGGTAAAGAGAGACAAATATGGCTCAACTGTAGTGCTGTCTGCTGTTAAGATGCTATACTTTAGGGGCTGGCAAGTGGTGTGGAGGTCAAGGCACTGGATTCCACATCACCATCTGTGTGGTTTGAGTCCCCGACCCAGTGGCTTAAAAATCATGCTGGGGGGACCAGCAGTTAGCGTAATGGCTGTGTTGCTGACTCCCACGTAGTCAACCACGGTTCAAGTCCTGGACCCGGCAGCTTAAACTTGCGCCGGGCACATGTGCAAGCGTGCCCAAGATCCCAAGAGGAGAATGGAGAAGGGATTGCGACATGGCCATCCCCCCTGGGGGGTGATTTCTCGCTTTCTATCTCTCTGTCTCTGTCTGTCTCTCTGGCGAGTGCACACGCCCTATAGTGAAAACCTCTCCAAAAAAAAGAAAAAAAAAATCATGCTGGGGATGTGTGTGTGCATGCTCAAGATCCCAAGAGGAGAATGAAGGAGAACAAATTATGGCGTGACCATTCTCCTAGGGAGGATGATTTTCTCACTTCTCTCTCTGTCTCTCTGTCTCTCTCTGGCAAGCACATAGGCCCTATAGCAAAACTAAAAAAGAAAGAAAGAAAAGTGCTATGTTTTGTAGGCTGGGACCACTTGGAAGGCCCATGCACAATTTTTGGCCCAACCTAAAGGCTGGGCTCAGGGACACAGGCCTGCAGACTCAGACACTCAAGGAAGCTGAGGCAAGAGAATTGTGAGCTTGAGGCTGGCCTGGGCAATATAGTGAGACCTTGTCTAAAACAGAGCCAGCTGTAGTGGAGTGTCCTATAGTCCCAGCTGGGAGGCTGAGGCAGGAGAACTACGTCTTTTCATTTTTTCATTTGCAAGACGCCATGTGCTCTTGACAGAGACAGACGGAGAGAAGGGAAAGTAAGAAATTACCTCCCATGGCCAATAGTCACACCACCATCCCTTTTCCTCCATTGCTCCATCCTTTCAGGATTTGGGGGCATGCATGCATACACACATGGTGTATTTCTCAAACCACTGAGTCTAAGACTCAAACCATGTATTTGGTCATGTGGGATCTAGCACCCTAACCAGTATGCCACAGGCTGGCCCTCAACCATGTCTTTTTTTTTTTTTAAGGGTATATTTTAAATCTTGCATATTTACTCAGAAAGGCAGTGCAAGCCCAACCTGGTGGTACAGTGGGTAGCAAATTGGACTGCAATGCTGGAAGCCACATGGCTGACTACAGGTTTGGATCTCTACACTCACTTGAAAACATGCAGGAAGGGACCAGCAGATGAAGTAATGTTTACATTGCTGGACTCCCATGTAGTTGACTATGGTTTGAGTCCCAGACCCAGCGGCTTAAAACTCACACTGGGCATGTGTGTGTGCATGCCCAAGATCCCAAGTGGAGAATGGAGGAGAAGGGATTGAAGTGTGGCCATTCCCCTGGGGTGGGGGGTGATTTCTTGCTTTCTGTCTCTCTGTCTCTGTTTCTCTGGTGAGTGCATGTGCCCTATAGCAAATATCTCTCCAAAAATAAAAAAGAAAGAAAAGAAAACATGCAGGATATGTCATGATGTACCCAAGTAATGACAAGTTAGAAGGCTGGGGAAAAGGGACTGTAGCATGAAAAGACTCTATCAAGGGGGCTTTCTATTTCTCTCTCACACATATGCACATGCTCTCTACCATGAATAAAATAAACTTTATTTACTTATTTATTTTAGAGGCAGACTGAAATGTGACATTTCCCATGGGGAGTGCTTTCTCTCTCTCCCTCTCTCTCCATCTTTCTCTGGCAAACAAGCGTGTCCTCTTGCAAAATTTGATAAAAAGAAAGTGATTTTTAAATCCATGCATAGTTTTTTTCATAATACACATTTCCCATGTATTTTTTTGAAACCCCTTTGTGTATGTACCCAGAGTGTGTGTGTGTGTGTTTGTGTGTGTGTGTGTGTGTGTGTGTGTACATGTGTATGTGGAAATACACAGCTCTCCTGATGCCCAGCCCAATGCTTCTTCAGACCATAGTGTAGAAAGAAAATTTTCCCACAGCAAGGTTAGAGCTGTGTATACCTTCTCTGCAATGAAGTCCATAGTATCAAAGGTGATCCGTCCCCTCTTCTTTTTCTGAAAAAAAAAAAAAAGGAGGCAGAGAGAAGATGGAGAATTAGTAAGACTGCCCCCTGGAATTGTGCACCTGAAAGCCTCCTGTACACCTGAACTACTGTGATCCACCTCTGCTCAAAAGCCCCAACTAGACACGAGACTTGGGTCTAGCAAGGACAACATGTTATTGTGAGAGCAGAGATACATCAGAGTGGGGAAAGTATAGAAGGAGGGAAAGAAGGGATAAAAAGAAAGGAACAAATAAAAACAATCTTTGTAAGTGCCTATAGTGAGCCTGTCATGGCCCATCTTCCTTACCTTACTCCATTTAATCATCAGGACCAAGCAGGTTTTATGAAGCCTCATTTTTGGACTTAAGGTGGTAAAGGAACTTGGCCAAAGATCACACAGCAAGTAAATAGGCCAGCTGGGATCCACACCCAAGATCTAGGGCAAACTCAAGTCCATGTCTACACTGTGGCCAGGAGATCATTTTAGCAATAAACTGACCCAACCACAGCTTCTAAAAGATGAAGAGAAGATGTGCAAAGAGTAGAGAACATGTAGAAAGAGGTGATGGGGAGAGAAAAGGGACAAACCAGGCCCTGACTACCATGCGAGACCAAGCCAGGGCCCCCGTTCTCCTTTCTGGACATACCTCATGTTATTGCCTGGAGCCCACTTGAATCCCTGACTGCTCCCCACAGTTGCCCCTCACCATTTCTAGTTTGTGTATCCATGTGGTCCTTTTCAGGTAGGC